TCGCAAAATAAATAACTATGTACGTCAGCGGGCTGACAGCAGGTACACCGCCAACCACTTTCATCGTCCATCACCTTGGGCATTGTGCGCAGCTCTCCAACGCTGCAATAAAAAGGAATAAAAAAGAAAATGTGTATATCAGAAAACCAATACATATATCGATGGCTGAGTGGAAGATCGACCTATCTCGGCAGCCAGTTCGAAAACGCTCTATCTCAAAAAACTTTTCAAGAACGCCCTATTTCAGAATTCGTTTCAAAAACGCCCTATCTCAGCTGCCGATTCAAAAACGCCCTATATAAGCATATTTTCAATACATTTTGAAGTGTGATAGGGCGTTTTTGAATCGAATTTTGAGATAGGGTGTTTTTCAATTAAATTCTGAAATAGGGCGTTCTTGAAAAGTTTTTTGAGATAGAGCGTTTTTGAACTGGCTGCCGAGATAGGTCGATCTTCCACTCAGCCATCGATATGTATATGTAAGTTTGCCTTATAAAATTGTAGACGCTGTACATGCAGTAGCATTAGCCGCCAATAGTGATTTTAAGCTTTCCAGTATTATTTATACTTACCTATTGTAAAAACAGAGCACTTAGTCATAGAGCAGGCTCACAAAGATTTTCGAGCAGCAAATATCGTCCAGCTGGAGTAGCTGGTTGCTATCAGACGCTCCATTACTGGTATCTAGCGTTCGGGTGTGGTGTCGAATATGTAGTTACATACGAACAATTATTTACTCAAATTTATTGTACATAGTACATATTTTTTAAATTTTTTATTTAATTAAATTATTATTTTTCCACTTTGCAACATTAATTCGCGTTGGTTAAATGACGAGTGTATCTTTTTTTATGTTTATACATCTATACATGCTAATGTATGTAACTTAAATGTGTATGCCATCGTTCCTGGAGTAGCTGGGACTACCGTGCGGGAAATGTATCTAACTATAAGTTAACTTGAAGTTAATTAGAAAGGACTAAAGGTCATTATTATCTGTATATTTTCTTTGAGGAAAGCTGACTATATTTTTATGGCGTCGGCCGCGAAATAGTCAAGGGTGGTTCTCTCTCTGCATTAGATGTCAACTAACTGGTATTTAACTACTTTTGGACGTAAAATATCAATAAGAACAAGTAATTTTTAAGCAAAAAAAAAAATAAGCCGACTTCATTTCTCATATAAAAATTCAAGATTATCGGTAATTTCTTCATGATCCAATGATCGAATTTAAACCAAATTAGCAAATCGGTTCACGTGGTCCAAAGTTATGCGGCAACATACATTAAAAAAATATATATATTCCGACGAATTGATAACCTTTTCCTTTTTGTGAAAAGCAATTTTATTTTTACTTTTTTATTGACTTACTTTTTTTTTATATCTCATATTTTTATGTTTACATATTCTGCTGTAGGGGGTCCCATATTCGAACTCCGTCAGACTTAAAATTTCGATCTTCTATTTATTTGTTCTTAATTCGAAAAATTATTTGTGAAGTAAGTTTCAAAGTAAAATTTGTATGACGAAAAACAATCTCGCGATTACGTGTGCATTACTTTTGACCTAGTTTTAAGTTAGCTTTTTGTAGCTAACTACATGTTATATATTTTATAGAAATCCCGCAAAAAGGCTAACAACAAGTTGGTTATTTTTATTCAATTGATCATTTTTTTCTGCAGGGTACACTGAGAAAAGAATTCAGGTACGTCAGCTAAATATGTTTCTCTCAACACATGATTTGGTTACAATTACATTATTTGTTTATAGTTATCAAATCATGTGTTGATGAGGGAAATATATTTTTAGCTGACTTTTTTCTGGGTGTAGCCTTCACATAAGTCATACATACTATGCACTTACATACACACAGTACACAAACTCAAGAAAGTTGGAGGGGACTGTCAAGAAGCTGATTTAGTGCAGGCCCGGTTAGTCATTAATTCAGGTACAACGCGGCTTCTTATCGTTCTTAGGCACGGTGCACATTAGAGCGATACGACACGCGATACCTTACTTATGTGGTGTAAAGTTCAAACGCTTTTGAGGATGTATTTGTTGGTTTCGCAGTGATAATATTCGAATAGCACCGAAGGTTCGTTTAGGGTATGATATGTCCAAAGAAATGAAGAGTGTGCTTTAAAAATGGGCGAAATATAAACAATAAATTTTAATTTTTTTTCTAAATTTTCTTCAAAAAACTCCTCGATTTACTTTCTTTCATTCATTTGACATTTCAGTAGATTCGGAAGTGGGACTAACGAATGCGAATGCGAGTAATAAGATCACTCGTTGAATAACTCAGTGAATGGTCTCCCCCATGGCTGTATGGATTTAGTAAAAACATATTCAATTAAAAATTGTTTGGCTAGCCGCTGTGGCCAATCGTAACGATCAGTTACCGCCTTTGCTTGGTTGTAACGCATACAGAGACTGTTTATAAACTCCGGAAAGAGTTTATGGAGGGCGCGTCAATCTAGGCGGAGCATTATTTGAGGTGCCATCAACTTTGTTTAGCTATGTGACACTTGAGAAGTGCATGCAATGAACCTATCTCTGCGACCCTTTTCTTTGTGGTTTTATCGAGGATATATATTTACTATATTTAGTCGCTAGCATTAGAAGTCACCAAAACTCTTGTTTTGACACCATTTCTTTGCTATGGAAATCTTTTCGTTTTGTTCGCCGCTATTACAGTACACGCTCATGTACTAGAAGCGATCTAAGCTGCTGTTCGCTTGTGCGACGGGTGTGACGATTTCGTTGTCCTGCAAAAGTCGTACGTATGGGTGAAAGCAAAGGCGCCCCCGAAATGAAATAAAGGAACCAAATGCTGAAGCCCAGGCCGCGTTGGTGTGAACAACTTTTTATTTATTTATTTATTTGTTACAGTCTTGCGACTTAAAAGTACAGATAGGTATTTTTAATATATAACAAAGTATGCGGAACATCGCAAAGCAGATAGACAATAGGCGAAGGTTTTGGTCTCGGCTCAAACCGATATGCGAGCTTCTTGGCTGACCGGTGAAGGATCGCCTGAGCAGACCCTTTCCTGGGGAGCATATTTGCCACTTCATGGAGCTTTATAGATTGTATACCATCGACATCTGCTCGGACACCATGCCTCCGCATTGGCTATTTTCCCCTTGGTTTGTTCGTTCAATGCCCCAGTTGGTTCTAATTGGGAAAATTATATTGAAGTTGAGTTTGTAGTTTTACCTCGGAGGAGTAAAGCTAAGTTTACCTATGAAAAAAAGTAGATAATGCTAATCCAGAAGCGCCTTGAGTGTCGCGATAGGTGTGGTTATCATTACGCTAGCGGCGGCAACGCAAGCAAGTCTCTGCAATTTACTTAGTTTGGTCTGCGGGGACTTCCTTGCTGTTTCCTTCCACTACGCAACGAAGCGTATATTTGGATGGGTTTTAAAATTTTTAATCCCACTTGCCAATTTAGGTCTGATGTCCCAGTTGCGCTCCAGTAGCTTCCGGCAGGTCCAAATAAATTAATAAATCTAAAGGGTTTTCCAATAAGGGCGCGGATAAGTGTAGAAATAGAATAAAACAATTTGTGTGTGAGGCATTGGTGTCTTCAAAACCACCACTGATTAGGATGTCAATCTCATAGGCGAAATCCTGAACATCGAAGCCGTCATTATCACCATGAAATTAGAGTAGTTCGTCTATTAGGCTTTCTTGCAAGTCAAGTCTGTGCAGCTCCTGGAAGGCATACAACTTTTAACTTTACTATTTCTTCCAAATCAGTGTAACCAATTTATTTAACAAATATATACTATAAGCAATTCACTACACACTTAAAAGTGTAAGATTTTTCAGGCTTTAATATCGCGACTGCTATACATACATATGTATGTACATATGTGTATTTGTTCACTTTTGTTGCTGACCCTTTTGTTGCTAGAGTGCCTAACCGCGAACCTATAATTTATGCGATTTTCTAGTTTCAACCACGCTTGTGACTGCTGCTTTAAAAGCTGTTTTACAAAATATGTATATTTAGTAGCGATTCGCAGTCTTATGTACCTCCCTTACCTCGCCTAGGGCCATCTGCAGTGCCTTTACCTCAACAAAGTGGAAATAATCGCAAGTAGGTAATCGCTTCAGAATTCGCGTGCATCAGTTGTGAGCTGTGAGGATATGGGAAATGGAATGTAGACGGATGAGAGATGGTTGGCCAACGGCAGTAAATAGTAGATATTGCGAACAGCGATGCCAACTTGCCGGCAAATTGCCCGATTTGCGGGGAATTTATGTCGTTGCGGGGAATGAGCTGCCTGTTGCGGGGAATCACTTACCTAGAGTGCAGCATACAGTGCTCGTCCAATATAACGAATGCCTATATAACGAACGAATTATGCCAGTACGGTGGGAATTCCACCGAAAATTTGGGAATTTCGCGGTGGCCTGCGGGAAGAAAGAAAAAAAATGAGTTGGCATCCCTGTTTGCAAAGTAAAGCTTTCGTGCGATTTTCATGCCATGGAACAGCAGTCAGTCAGTCAGTCAGTTGGACATATTTCAACATTCAGTTTTGCATGCACGATCTAAATTTACATATTTACATATGTACATATTGTATACATTGGATGTATGTTTGTGTGACTGCGCGCGTTGGCACTAGGTCATTGGGGAGGACCGAAGGGTGGTTGCCCAATGCACACTAAGTACTCGTACTACCCATCGCAGTTTAGTGGCCTCTCGCTAATAAGCCGCAATACGCGATAACTGCTGTCGCCAGTCGTCGTTGAGTTCCTTGTGATTTTTTCGCTTTAGTAGTTGTTGTTGTACAATTGTTACGTGAACCACCACATCAGTGTGCACACAACTTAGTTAAGTTAGTCGTTAGTCAGTTAAGTTAGTACGTAAAGTAAACGTCCATCACTTAGCCGTAATGTACATTGTCGTACGTCTCTAGATGGCGAACGGCTAAATGCTGGGGGGAAAAATGCAAGTATAAACAAGCTGAATATCTAAAATGATTTACATATGTATGTACGTACATATACATATGTATACAGTGATCGAAAAAATTACAGTTCATTCTTTAACAAAAACCGTGTAAATCCAAGTTTCAGTCTTAGTGCAATATCAAAGAAGAAGAAAAAAAATAATTCAACTTTCGTAAAAATTTTGAACTATTTAATTAGATTTCTTAGAAGGATTTTTAGTATGCACTTTGTAGCCCATTCAATTCTGGTTTATTACAGTGCAAGTTTCAAATGGTTAAAAATTACTCGATTTTTTACGAAAGTTTGTTGATTTTTTTTTTAAATATTGCGCAAAGTTTGGAACTTTACACTGCTTTTGTTAAACCATGAGCTATATTAAAAAAAAAAATATATAACTAAAATTAAATAAGAAAAAAAGTAAATTGTGAAAACTGTTCGATATCTGATGTAGCTACAATTTTTACGACCACTGTAGATATACATAAGTATACATATATGTATGTATAAATGTACTTATGCAATGTGGGCATGTACATTAGGGTGGTCCAAAAACAGTAAAGTCGGAGTCTCACCCCCTAGGATTGTTCTATATCGAAAAAAATAAACCCCCTAATTTTTGTATTTTAAAATCAAAAAATATTTAGAGGTAGCTCAAAATTTTCTATGTATGTACATATTTTTATATGGGGAAAAACAACTTTTCGTAGATATGGTATATAATTCTTGAAACCCAATATTTTTCGATCTGAAAACTCTGGTTCTTTAAAGAGACTTTCAATAATAATACCCAATTATTTATTTAACAATTTTTTTTTTAATACTAACGCTTTTTTATTATCCGCCCTTTTGCATTTTCGGGGTTTTTGTGGGTTTTTAGCGAACCTATAAATTTTAGTTGCGATGAAAAAATGGTCAAATAAAAAATTTGGTATTATTACTGAGAATCTCCTGCAGATAAACAGAGTTCTCCGATAGAAAAATATTGATTTTTAAGAATTCTATACCATTTCTTAGAAAAGTTTTTTGGCCATATAAAATACATGGAAAATTTTAGCCGCTTTGAGCGACCTCTAAATATTTTTTGATTTCAAAATAAAATATAGGGGTATATTTTTTCGGTATAGAACAATTCTAGGGGTTGAGAGCATACAAATTTCGACTTTACTCTTTCCACATGCATTTTTGTACCACCCTAATGTACATACATATATGGAAATAAATAATTGCACTAAAGTAGATTTACTTTAAGGCATTTACTTTTGCAAAATATACATTTAAGTCACAAATTCGCGCTCAAAATGCTATTACAGTTTTAAGAGCGCAGAAACGGAGTGAAATTGTTGTGCCGAGTAGTCAGTATTTATGGCGCACTTTGTAGAATCTAATTGCTTAGGTAATTTATTTGCAATTAGTTGGCACAGTTATGGGTGATTTTAATTGGAAGTTTAATCATACTCGCACTCAAGTGCAGTCATTTAATTAAAATTTTGGTTTAAATGCAGAAAATAAAAAGTTTATAGCTTGCAGCGCTTTTCAGTATGGCGGTTAAATATTTTTTGATTGTACAAACGTTTGACCCAGTTTTAACGTATTCGCAAGTGTAGCTATACCTTTTCCTCTGCAATACCATAGCTCTGTTATCGATATTTCCAGTAAGAAACTATCCAGTAACCAAAATTTCTGAGAGTAAACCAACATTTGCTCTCAATGAGAGAAACATACAAGCATGTATGAAAACGCAAAGCCAGTAAAAGGTTGCGCAAGTTTTGTGAACAGCTGACTAATTTTTTTATTTTCCGAAGCAATTTCCTAAGAAAAATAGTATTTCCTATCTTATTATATACATATGTATTTAAATATATGCCGCCCACCGTTGTTATTCATATCGTCGATGGTTTTGCAAAACTGCCCATCGACCAGCTGCAAAACCGCTTAAATCGCCGTTGTGGCGAAAATGAGATTTGATAGCCCTGAACTCCGGGCATCGAGATTTATGCATAAAAATCGGAAAATCGTTATTAAAACAACAGATTTTTAAAATAATAGCCAGAGAAAATACCGCCCATCAAGGCAATGCCTGCAAAAAAAAAAACTTTTTTTCGCTTTCCTGTAAAATTTGAGTGCCGTAAGATAGACGGTTTTGCAAAAACATCGATGATATGTATGTATGTATTCCTTCAGCTTCGCTCGCCTGTATTCAGCCAAAAGTTCACCCATTTATTTGACTTTTAATCTTCTTAATTATAATTACGTTTTTTTTCGTGTTTTATCTAGTTATCCACTTAGAAATTTGTATGGTTGTTCCCGTTGATTATACAACAAATGAACAACAACAAATAAATCTTTGGCGGCTTTGACTTTTGCTTAAGCTAATAAATTGTAAATAAAAGAATGAGCTGCTGGCCGCATATTTGAATAGCTCGCAACCCGAAGTTGGCAATCAGCAAAGCAAGGCAGGGCCGGGCCAGCTCGATTCGGAGTTAATTGACGAAATAAATTTCGCTAAGTATTCATGTACATACATAGGTATTGTTATATAAATCAACTGGCTGTAGCGAAAGACACATCTTCTTTAGTTGATTTCCATACTTCTTTACTTTTCTTATTCCAGTTATTTACAGCTTTATCGGCTAATTTTTCCATAAGCAGAAAATTAAAATTTTTTCTCGCCAATCTTTAATGATTTAATCTTGTATCAACTGTACACATGTATGTACGTAAGTATGTATGGATGTACGATGGCGGGTAAACGAATAGAGAAGCAACAATTTAACAAGTTTGCTTATTTAATGTTTATTATTATTTTTTTTTTATAAAAGTATAGCTCTTACAAACCACGTAAATAAATATTTCAAACTTTGTACAATATTTATAAAAAATCTACGAATTTCAACAAATGTTCATAAAAATTTCAAACTTTTTGTTCCGAAATTTTAAAATATATTCTAGGTATGCAGTTCAGTTTTGCAGCACATTAAATTTTACTTTCATTAGTTAAGTTTAAAATACCTAGGTTTTGATTTTTGGCATTTTTTGCTGACGGTGTTTTGCATTTTCCTCCATATAAAAAATTGTTTTACTTACTTTATATGGAAAAAATTAGGGACACCGTCAGAAAAATGCCAAAACCAGCGGTAAGTCCTAGCTATTTCATACGTGCACTTTATTAAACTAAAATTTAATGCACTGCAAAACTGCACACCTAGGATTTATTTTAAAATTTCTGAATAAAATGTTTCATTTTTGACGAACCCTAATTCCCTAATTTTTGTGGAAAATGTGAATTTGAAATTCGGAATTACGTGGTTTTTGTTGGATAGTGAGCTATGCTTTAATAAAGAAATAATAAACAAGAAAAATATAAAAAATAGCCAAAACTTGTTAAAATCCCGCTTCCCTCCTTGTTTGTCCGCCACTGTAAGTATGTATATGTAGTTTATATAATAGGCTTGCGTTATTAGTGCTATTAAGTGATAGCGGTATTTGTTAAATGACATTTGATGGATCTGGGGTTAAATGAATTAGAAATAACTGTTTTTTATAACGTCAATTAAATATTTAATTAATATACTTAAACATGTATGTATATATACACATGTGCTTGAAAAAACCATATCACTTAACCCACATCTTGCTTCAACAGTGACTAATTTGAGCATGCTTGGAAACTGATCCGTATGGGTCTAAAAAATGTCAATTTATTTCAAGTGATTTAGAGAGTATTTCAGGAGTGAAAAATTTTTTTTTCGGCATCCTGTAGCTAACCCGGTTTTTAATATAACCTTTTATTTAATGTCCGATTTCTGTAAGTTATACATTGTTATAGAGGTATATGAATTGAATTTTCGAACCTTAAAAAAATATTGCAAACTTTAATTTAAAAATAACTTCAGATTTAATAATTTTTTTTTTTAGAGTTTGCAAAAACTTTTAGTTTAAAAATTCATATCTTAAAAAACACCTTGAAAATTTTCAGGATCTTTTAAAATCAGTTGTAGGTATTGCAAAACAAAATTTAATCAAATTTTTACAAGTTTTTGCGTTTAAAATTTGTTTAATTTAAAAATTCTGTAAATTTTATCTTTATAATCCCAAAAACCATCACCAAACGAGACCGAAATAATTTATATAACTATAAAAGTTTTTGAGATATTTAAAAAATAATCTTTACAGAACTTTTTTATATGATAAAAGAAAAGTTCTGATTCATCCAAACCAAAATGGTTGATTCCAACCCGTGGTCGATTGGTCATGGATTAAACCATATTCGTTTATCAATTAAATAGTAAATAATTTACAACAAAACATTTTATCATATTTACAAACAAGCAAATGCCGCAGAGCTAATGAGTATTTAGACAGCCGGGGCAATGATCTCTTAACTTCCGCATTTGGATTGAGACACAGTGCACAGTGGTTCAAAATTGGAATTTACTGTTCATAATTCACTTCAGCCTTTATTTTTTAGCCAATATGATATTTTTTTTAATGAAAGCTTGTAAAATTAGCAATATATGTACGGCTTAAAATTTTATTTGCTTATTTAAATTTTTTTAGAGCGAAGTGTAGAAAAAGTAGCAATTTTTGAGAAAATCCAGGAGAATAAATCCAGTTAATAAATGTTTCATAATAAAAGCTAGTCGAAAATAATTGTAGAGTTACCCCAAACTAAAAAAAATCACAAGAAAATTTTTAAATTAAAATTAAATCACCAAAATAAAAAAAACGTTTATTACTAAAATTTAACAATTTTTTTATAACATTTAAAATTTTATCCCCCCGCAATTGTTTTCTAAAATTTTTTTATTATGTAACATTTATTAACTGGAGCAGGAGAATCGATTTTCTTCAAAATTGCTACTTTTTCTGCACTTTGTGATAAAAGATTTAATTTAATCAAACAAAAATTCAAAACCGTTCTCAACTGGTCTCAGGAAAATTGTATAAGCTTTTTGAACCACTGTGCACTGGTGGCGCGGCTTATCTGTCATTCAATGGAAGTCGTGCGTTGTCCATTAAACGCAAATGCGAATGGGCGTGCGCGAACACAGCTGCAGAAAAGGAAAACAAGAAAATAGTACTTTAACATTGCTGACAACAGACAACAGAAAAAAAACCAGCAATGACAACGGAAATACAAACGTTGTCCAACAAATACATTGTAAATGTTGCTGCCTCACAGTCTCCTTAAGTGAATTGGGTCGTCAGAATAAAGCAGCATTTGCATATTTACATAAGTACATACACGGCCTTTATTTGTTTGGCGATGGGAAGGGAGCGACGATAGCGGCAGTGGCATCAACATCGGCGGCCTATTGCCATTGATGTTGCTCAACAACCGCTCTTGCTGCTGGCTCGTCATTGGGCGTTTCTGTTGTGTCATTCAAATGTCAAAGAACTTTGCACTTTGCAATATTTTTCTTTTCATATTTTTCTCCAAATAAGTATTCTTCTCATATTTTGTAATTTCTTATGCTTCTGTTTGATTCTTTTGTTATTTCTTAATTTGCTTTTATTAATTTTCAGATACACAGAGCATCATCGATGAAGGTAAGCTGCGCACTAGGATACAGAGAATTGTCAACAATTCAAAACAAAAAATTCTTTGAGTCTTTCAAGTATTTTGGTCGATTTGTTCTAACTAATGCCAACTTGTGTAGACATGTACATATCTATGTCCGTATGTATTGACTAATATGTTTTGAATGCTCTCGATTAACTGCATTGGTTGCTGGTTTTTGATTGCTCTGATGGGTGATTGTGTTACTTAGGTGATCTGGGCGTTATAACAAGTGTTCTGTCAGAAATTGGCACAATTTGCACCTCCACCTGGGCGACTGTAGACGTCATGATTGATTCTTTAAATCTGTGAAATTGTGCCAATTTTGCCACACTCACCAGTTTGTGTTGTTGTTGTCTTTACATTCGTACAATTAATAGCATTTCATTTCGATTTGTGTTCCCTTTTATTTGTCCTCGTTTTTACTCTCATTTTGTGTTGTCCTCTTCAAGCAAGTCTCTATTTGCATCACTTATGTATAAGAAAATGTGACTTATCATATATATTGACTTCATTGTAACCATGTCGCCTCATGTGCAGCAGTAAAATTATGTCCTTTGCTGTTGTTGTTATGGTCTTGCTACTTATTATTATTTATAAAAAAACACATTAAAATCATTTCATCAAATAGTTTTCTTACAATTTATTAACTAACATTTTCTCCTTACCTTCGTATTTTTCTAGGTGAACGGTGATGAGAGTTGGCAATATGAGGATATAACATTGGAGCGTGGCAATTCTGGGCTTGGATTTTCGATTGCAGGCGGTACAGACAATCCTCACATCGGCACGGACACATCCATCTATATAACGAAACTTATAGCGGGCGGTGCCGCCGCAGCCGATGGCCGTTTGTGCATTAACGATATCATTGTATCGGTGAATGATGTTTCTGTGGTTGATGTGCCACACGCGTCCGCTGTGGATGCGCTTAAGAAGGCCGGCAATGTGGTAAAATTGCATGTGAAAAGAAAACGTGGTGGTGGCGGCGGTGGCGGTGCTGGTGACGCTACTGCCGCCTCATCGGCCACCTTGCCGCGGAGTGCTGCCGCTGCAGCGGCTGCTGCTGCCGGTCCGAAAGTGGTCGAGATCGATTTGGTGAAAGGCAGCAAAGGTTTGGGCTTTTCCATTGCCGGCGGTATTGGTAATCAACATATACCGGGCGATAACGGTATCTATGTGACGAAAATCATGGAAGGCGGTGCCGCCGCGGTTGATGGACGCCTGTCGATCGGCGACAAACTGATTGCGGTGCGCACAAATGCGGTATGTATATGTTATTTGTTACTAGTGGCGCATTTTTCTCATAAATATATTGCATATTTCTTTCACAGGCCGAAACCAATTTGGAAAATGTGACACATGAGCAAGCGGTTGCCACACTCAAGTCAATTACGGACAAAGTAACGTTGATCGTTGGCAAGACGCAACATCAAGTCAGCTCATCACAGTCACAATTCGGGCAGATTAATTCGCATTCAACAGGTGCGATTAATAATATTGGAAAAACTGTTGTTGATTTTGCTCGCTCACCATCACCCTCAATCACCACCACCACTATCACCACGAACAACAACAACAATGCCACGAGCAACACAACTATCACTAATAACATCAACAATAATATTCAATCCGCAGTACCCGCCTCCTCCACAGCAGCTGGTGTTGTAGCATCAACATCCAGATCCCATTCACCTTTGCCTCGTAAGACAAACTGCATACATACTGCATACTCGTACAAATATACATACATACATACATGCACAGTACATTATATAAACAGCAAACGTACTAGGCTTAGACTCAGCGATAAATCACCTCAAGCTAATTTCTTTAAAATGAAAATTAGCACACATTTGCGAAATTATTGCTACATGTTACTTATATTTAGGTCTATGTATGTATGTGTATAAATATTTAAATCCATGCACATTTAACCATAGTCGTCTAAACAAATGTGTTGCGTAGAGTGATTGCTTTCATCAGATATAGAAAGATTTTGGCATCTGTATGCAGAAAGGCGCTTAGTTACAAATCATAGACGCTAAATGAACAGATGCAGAAATTACTGCCCACTCGACTTAACCCACGACAACTTAAAACTTGTCTAACTATTGTTAAGAATATTACACTTATTCGTACGCATTTTCTGAGATTAAGTATTTTAAAATCCTTTGAAGAACATTTTTTTTATAATCGTCTGAGAAATTCATTACCCCGGCCTCCACCCTAATGTCAGTCCTGTTAGTGAAAATTATATTGGTCTTTAAAATTATATGACTTAAATATGTATACAACTATTTTGCCAATACATCATTAAAATATTCATTATGCCTGCCAGTAATTTTCATTTCAAGCCTTTTTTTATTGCCAGGGAACAGATTTTATGGAAATTGCCTTTTTTCTGCTAAACAGATAGAGTATATTCGATTAAGAATGTCCACGCTTTAGCTTTCCCTGGTTCCATATATACACATTTGATTTAGCCGTTTTTTTTTTGCCTTTTTTAATATATTTGCCTTTTTTGCCTATTGTAGCTTTAGAAAGGTGATTATAGCGCGACTTGTATCAACTCGCGTCGAGCGCACGTTTAGTAGACACCAGTGGAAACATACGTTATGAATTTGAGTTCCAAGAGTTCAGAAGTTCTCGGGCCTAGAAGTAAAGCTCCTTTACAATTCTGAAAAAAAATACAACATTAAATATTTGTGCAAATAAGCAAAAAAACAAATTTCCATCCCATATCTAATAGTCTACATAAATATGAAATATAGCCCCATGTCTAATAAAATCTATGAGCTAAAACAACTTCTTTGATGTTCGCAATCACTCCTCTATACGCCACCGTAACTTATTCGTCTTAAAGTAAATATTTATACACAGGCATATGTACAAACGTATGTATATACAAACAGCATCCATATTTGCAAACGTATAAGGTAGCTTTTGAATTTAATGCTTCTAGCAGTTCATTCTTTTTTGTTTTCTCTTAAAGCTGAAAACTTTTATTGCACATTGGTCGCTATGCCATTTGCGCTAGTTTTCAATTTTATACATTTTTATTTATACGTATTCGCAAATATTATTTACGCATGCTAAAGTACAAATTTTATGTATGCAAATAGCTTGAAAATGCTATAATCATTTTATTTTCGTTCCAATCCGTCTAAGCCCAAAACAAATATGTACAATACATAATTCAACTTGTTCGCTTTTCGATTGGCGTCACGTATTGTGCATTAGCGCACGCTGCGTGCATGAATTCGCCAATGTTGCTTCATGTGTTAGCCCCTAGCAGTTTATGAAAAGTGATTGGAAATTACTTGCAACTGTAAGATTTTTCTGTTCACAATATTTTTTTTTTTTTTTATTTGATTGCTTTAGTTTAATGCAGCCACAAGCACGTTGCGGAAATTATGAAAAGCAATTATTTTTAAGGGGAAAAAAATTGGAACTTCCTTTCCTCCTTTCCAGCACAAATTGTTTTCTATTTATAATCTATAGCAAATACCTAAGTGAATTTTACTTTAGATTTTTTAATTCCTAAAATTTTCCAACTAGTTGTGTATAAATTTCTGTATATACATAAATATAATCATAATCAGCAAACCATTTTAATTCTTTTACCTCTTCTCATCCTACTATCTTCACATTTTTGTTTTCCAAAAACAAAAACTACCAAACAAACGAAAATACTTACAAATCGTACAAATATTCTCGTATTCTGTAATACAAATGCCATCGAAAAATGCAATGTTTGTGTGTGCGTGTTGTGTTCAATTATTCGTTGTGGTTCTTGATAATTACACGAATTATAGAACCAGCATCTAGGTATGCGTCATCGAATGTACTGGCCGCTGTGCCACCTGGAACGCCACGTGCCGTCAGCACTGAGGATATTACACGGTAAGTGCAATATTATTATAATAGTTCTACATGTGTGTATATGAATCGTATATATGTATGTAAGTAGTATATGTATATACAGGTATATATGCATACTGATGATTATTTATTTATTTAGTTTACTCAAATGCTTTATTTAGTTCACAAGTAGCTGTTGTTTGTATTTGTTGGTAGTTGTTGCAAATTGCAAACTAATGGGTGTGCCACAGGTGAAATTAAGGCTAATGACAACTTCTATTGATGATACTACAAACACGTTTTAGCCCGTTACGGTCACACCTCCTAATAATAACGCTTTGCTTACATGGGGTCCAGTGGACTCTAAGAAAATAATCACAAAATGACTTATATGTATTGCAGACACCTTTGAAATTGTTGAGTTTGATAGAGTTTCAAAATCACTTCCGTTGCCACGTCTGACTGGCCTTTAGCAATCCAAGTCTTCTTTCCATTTGCTACTTTTTTGATACTTATCTACGTCTTTAATTAAGCTGACTTCTGTTTCCAGTTCGCAAAACTGTACCTCCGAACTAGAGAAAAAATCACACTCCGGTCTTTCCTATCTTTAGCGGCTATAAAAAGCCCTACTCTACACATTTACATACCTTACTGCAAACGCACAACCAACGCAGAATATTCTCTTGCTTAAAGGCAACTATTTTTCGTATGTACATAGCTCTTTATAATATAAATAATATATTATATTTATTCATGCAAAGAAGCGACCTCTTTCTTCAGCACTCACACTAAAACTGCGTTGTTTTCGGATTCTGTATGATATCGTCTGTGCATTTTGTTATTTTTTTTAATACAAATAATTTTAATTAGAACTTTAAAGAGATAACCAGTCTTCAGTAAACTCGTATGTATGTATATGTATGATACATTTATTATGACAACAGATAAGAGCAAACTCAGTAAATAACTAAGGAAAACGAAACTCACAAAATTAAAATGCCATTAAAAAATTATTTTGTTGCATAATTACTTTTACTTAAAGTGATACCCAGCAAACATTGAGGTTAGTTATCGAATAAAGAATGATTGGGGAACTAGCCACATTCTCCAATCTCAAACGTTAGAGAACGGCTCGGAAAAACTATCGAGAATCATAGGGATCTCTACAAAGATGAGACATAAATAGTTGTCGACTGGAGAAAATATTAATTTCTCTAATCGAATTCTAATGTTGATCTCTAATGGGATTCGAATGTGAATTTCAAACTGCTGTTTTGCTTTTTTTAAATAAAACGCTTTTCTTGTAAAATTTGTATTAAATGTATTCGCAATAAAATAATAATTAATTATTAAAATAATTTATGACTCAGTCATTTGGAATATTGCTTATTTACATTTATTTGAATTCGCGTTGTTTCTCTAATCGTTCTCGAATCGAATTCTAATGTAGTTCTCTAACTTCGTCATCGATTCGAGAACGATTAGAGAATTACCCTAGATATCTTATGTAGAAATCAAAATTTCTCTAACGTTAAAGACTGTGTTTGCTGGGTAAAATTTCTTAAAAATTTCGATGTAGAAATTGGTTGGACTTAAGGTCAAACTCATGCAAGGAATCCTGATTTTTTTAAATAAAATTTTCTCGTTGATGTCCCGCAAGGTTAAACAAAAATCAGAAAACATTTAAAGTTCCAAGCATATACGGTGACGAGAATATACGTAGGGACGCGACGGCGTTACGCATTTTTTCCATACAAAGGATTTTAGAAGAAAAAGTCATAGACGCAATTCGTTTACCATAAGCGTTAAGGGATAAGACTAAGAATACTTAATTAAAAATATTCGAATGGTTTTCGCACGTTTGATTTTAATTTCTTTGAGGTTAGGTTATTTTGGCTTAGCCGCAAGATCTCACTTGGGGATTTCTAACATTCTTTCGGTCTGCAATTTCCTTCAGCGAAGAGAAGAAACCAAAGGCAATGTACCCAAGATGCGATCTTTCGAAAGTTTGACAATGTCACAGGAGACGTTTTAGTTAGTGCGGATGAAGAGTTACCTTCGTCACATGTTTTTTCACTCCTTGTCAGTCCTTACTTGAACGTAAGTGCCCAATATATCTGTGGTCGTAAGCAGTAATCGCCTAAGTCGAAAAACCTGAATTCGAGAAAAAACGCTTTTAAGATTTGGATTGTAATGATAACCTTATGAGGAAAACTGTTTTCGCCTATAACTTTTTAAATAGCCTAGCTGGCGAGATGGGGATTCCACGTACGCATGGAATAGGGGTTGAAGAATACGATAGCATATATGACTCCATTCTTTCTTAAGTCGACTTAGGCGGTTATTGCTTATGACCACAGATGTTATATATCTTTCAATCTAAACTTGAAAGCGTAACCTTGGCTCCCATGCAAAATGTTCACTTTTAACACAAGGTAATTGATAGGGAGTAGACGGCTAGTATCCCTGAATTCCAAATTGCAAATATACAAAGCATCAGTCTCTCTTGTTCCTTAAATATTGTACATAGATTAAAAAGTCGAGCTTACGCAAGCTTAATTGCTACTAACATCCAGGCGTGGTTGAGAATATTGGACAGGTGCATCTGCTTGGATCAGAAATAAAAAAAGATTGATGCATTGTATTTCTACATTTTGGAATTCAGGATATGGAGAGCTTCCCATTACCTTCTATTATTCTGTGTCTCGGCACTCGTCTATTGACGCATTGTCGAATACAAAACGAATTTACCATAATAACCATTACTGCCCTGATGTCTGGCCTTTCGGTCGATTAAAATATTTACACGTCAGCTTTGAGAAGCTGCCGACTCAGTTGCCTTAGTTGCAACAATAAGCCGGGAGTTTATAGTATAGAAGTTCAAGCTCATTGGCCTGAGTAACAGCATAGTTTAGTTTAACGTTGCCTTTTAGGCCAGAAAACGATTAACTTATAATCAGTAATATTGGATTTCTGCTGGACGACGTTTAAGCCATTTTAACTGCTAAAAATTAACTTAGTTTACTTTCGCACTATCTTCCTCTTTATTCTAATGAAGAAAGTGCAATCTCTGACGGCTGCTCTAGAAATAATTCTTAGTTTGCCGTCCATTGACCTACTTGCTGTTAAATCCGTGGCACATAATCCGTGACGTCCATTGTGGAATTCAACTGGATGTAGAACTTTCGGTCACAGCTCAATTGGGAAAAGGCGCGCAGGTAGCAATTACTATATGACACATTGTTTTAATTGGGAAAAAAGATTTCGCACTACAACCAAAGAAAAGGAAACCTAGTCGCAGATCCTTCACAGAACAGAAGGTTTTAGAAAGTAACGAAATATGAGACTGCCAACAACGGTTATTAACTAGTCTGGCTACGATGAGCACATAAATACTTGTATAATAAAATGGAAAGGCAGTCTAGAGCTAGATGGAACGAAATAGAAGAAATCTTCCTCTGCAAAAACATGATCAAGCGGTGAGAAAATTTTGTGTTCGTTTATTAAAATGTCACACTCTTGTAAGGCATGCCTTACTTGCAATAAAGGCACATTCTCTGCCCTTTGAAGGCCGTAATTTAACTTGTCGATTCTAGAGCCCACTGCTGATTTCCTTTAGGCCTGAGATTCTACACCGAAGTAACGTGAAATCTACGCGAAACAGCCACTGTCATTGTCACGAGTCAGAGGTTTTTTATTTTTATTTTTATTATGTTTACGAACAGAAGCATTGTCGTTATCTTTTTGTTCTTATCAAGTGACGCACTTTAGGGGCGTTGTATGCTGAATGTTAAGTAAAATATTTTTCGCGCTCGCATATCGGTATGCCCGTGAAACGCTTGACTCAGAGGCGTCACAGTGCGGCAAATTAGCATCCACTGTCTGCTGTTGACTTACTGCATAACTGGCTAAGAGTGTAGTTGACTGACTGGCTTGCCTTGCGGATGGATGATGACTACCGAATTACATACATGTATACATATAATCAGCAGCGGCGTTAACGATGCTGGCTGGGCAATGCGCGTTGCTCATTCATTTGCTAACCATATTTTGAGTGAGTTTGCATTGTTTTTGAAGGTACAAACATACATACATACATACGTACGCATACAGGTTCACAACGCGAATCGTGCATTTATCTCAGCCATGCCAAGCCAAGCCAAAAAGCAAGTAAGCTGGTTGGCAACACGCTTGTGCGTTGTGCTGCTGCGGCGACAAAGATGACCGCGTCCTCCGCGCGCGCATCTCACCGGTGCTCTCGAGCATTTTATCGCATTTAATTTGCAAGGCGCACGTTATTGCTTAATTTCTTATTTTTATTTTTATACATATCATTTGCCTTTTGCTATTCCAGCGATAAACGTGTATTCGATTTTATTTGAAATATACTTGTACTTTTTTTCTGTATTTATTTATTTTGTGCGATACAAGTTTGGTTTGCGTTGACGCGTCTGACGCAGCTTGAACGGGCGGACACAGCTGTTGCGGCATGAGCTGGCCGGTTTTGGCTTGGCCACTTCGTACTGTCGTTGACTTTTAGCTATTTGCTATCCGCGCTGCAGTGAGCGCCGTCGGCGTAGCTATTGCGTTTTTTTTTGTTTGTTAATTTTTGAGCTGCAATTGTGTTTATCGAAGGTGTTGTTCGCCGTTTTTTTCCTTCCAGTTTGCATTTTCCATTGATTATTTCTTTTTGTTTTTATTTAATCGAAGCTTACGGCTTCATCGTCGTCATTGTCGTCGTTGTCATTGCCGCTTTCGAAGCGGAATTCCGAAAATAATTGCACATTTCGTTGCGTACGCAAGTCCAAAGCGGGTGGTCGATCAGCTAGCCAGCCAGCCAGCGGGCCAAGCCAGCTGTGCCAGCCATTCGGTATCGGCTGTCACATTTCATTAAATAAATTGTCAATTGCAAATCGAATCGAATTTGCTGCTAATTGAATTAATTCACCTCAGCAAGCCAGTATTAATTAGCAACGAGTGGGTGCGTCCACATCGCTTACGATTCCCCAGTAAAATGAGTTGCCTGCAGCTGCATCTGCTCAACTTGGATGAACGCATTTCGCGACTACGCAAGGCACATAAGCTCGAGAAATCCAATTCGTTGCCATTGAATGCCAGATTGGAGTTGGAGCCCACGCCTAAGTCTAAGAAGAAAGTGACAGCACGACTGGAACGCGGCACTAACGTCAGCGCATCGCGCGATAGCTTAGATCGCGGCGGTGGCGACGGTAAAAGTGACGATGGCGGCGACGTGCAGCGATTACAAAACGGTATTGAGGCCGCCGCTGCCGCGGGTGAACTTGGCGTGAAGTGCGTATGCCGATTTACATATTAATATGGCCCTCAGCTGTGCAATATTTTTTTTTTACCTATCATAAGTCTTAGTTGTATTGTATTATTTGTTGCATATTTATTTCACGTACTTTTCTTGATCAATTATTTGTGTGTAATTGTGTTATTTACTTTGGCATTTCCTCAATTTCTTTTCTCTGCTTTTACTCATTTTTAGTGAACCGCGCACAATCACCATACAAAAGGGTCCACAAGGTTTGGGCTTCAATATCGTCGGCGGCGAAGATGGCCAGGGTATCTATGTGTCATTTATACTTGCTGGTGGGCCTGCTGACGCCGGCGGGGAGCTTAAACGTGGCGATCAGCTCTTGAGCGTAAATAATGTCAGCCTAAAGAACGCTACCCATGAAGAGGCCGCTCAGGCGTTGAAGGTGAGTTATGCTTTTGGTGGCTGGGGCCTGAAGTGCATATCGCCCATTTACTTCAATATCTAGTGTCGTAATCAAAAAACTACGAAAATTGAGTTTAGTATGCCGAAATTACCGCTACCTATTGTTACATGTTGTGTGAAAATTTTGTAGCTGTATCGATTACAAGTACATACATATATCACTAGAATAAAATTGGGGTATTCAAAACAGTGTCGTATTCTTGTATGCCGAAACTTTAGAAGGTTAAATACACGTTTGAAAACACAACCAACTATTTTTTAGCAGTGCGAAAATTCATAAAATGTCTTTTATGGTATCTTGCGAACCTCTTATATATATTTTTAACCATTTAAAGTTTACGAAATAATATACAACAATACGACACTTACGAAACCGTTGCGAATACCACAAATATGTATTCATTTTTATTATGTGAGTATATGTAAATTCACAACTTGAAGCTGTTTTTCTGGAGTTTTGCTTTGTTCAGTTATGACACTCTATTGAAGTACATAAATCAGCGATATGTATGTAAATACATTAGAGTGCATCACTAAAAAAACTTGCTTGCTTTACACCAGATTTATAAAATGTAGTTATTATAATTTAAGACTTTCGCCAATTTTGTTTTTAATATTTACGTGAACTAGAGCGATTTGAAAATACCTCACAAAATCCCATTATTTCGACTCCATTAATATATTTTTTTTTTATTTCATGCAAACCTTTTCATTTAAACTCTTCTATCATCTTAGATGATGTTTTAGAAAAAATATTTTTCAAAACTATTTTTTTTTTATAAAAAATCGCGATTTCTGTAGGTATTTTCATTTTTCGAAATTTTTTTGGCTGAAGTCTTGACATACAGTGGTGGAAAAATAAACAAATTGACACATTTTTCCTATTTTTCTTTTGTTTATTTAATATTTATTTTATAAAAGTATAGCTCATTATCCAACAAAAACCCTATAAATTCATATTTCAAACTTTGTGCAAAAATTATAAAAATTCTGCGAAATTGCACCTAAATTTTCAACTTTTTAATCAGTTTTTTTAGTAGTATGCAAGTTTAAACTTCCTAAAAAATGGCGTTAGTTTTTGATCATTTTAATTTTGAATGTATTACGCACGTTTTTCCATACAAAAATAAAAGGTCAAACATACTTTGTATGGCAGAAAACGCTTTAAAAAAATTTCAAAAATTAACGCAATTTTTTACCAACTTAAAACTTACCCTTCATTCTACTAAAATTTAATGGCCTATTAAACTATATACTCAAAAAAATTCTAAAAAATGTGGTTAAAAAGTTGAAAATTTAGATGCAGTTTGCAGAATTTTTATAATTTTTGCTCAAGGTTTTAAATGTGACTTTATATGGTTTTTGTTAGGCAAAAAGCTCTAATTTTATAAAAAAATAATAAATTTTATTTGTCAATGTTATTGTGGCTTATTAACATTTTATTTTTAATATATTTTTATTGAGCTTTGTACCACGATTATTTATTAGGAAAAATTAAAAAAGCAACAAAGTCTAAGCGGTAGAAGTTATAACAGCTATTTCGGAGATGCTGAAGCCTAGCAAAAAAAAGTCGGATGAGGAGATGTGGTGATCTCCGAAATAGTTCCTATAGCTTCTACCGCATAGACTTTGTTGCTTTTCAATTTTTTCTAATAAACAATCGTGGTACAAAGCTCAATAAAAACATTAAAAATAATAAATTTTATATTTCCGATGGAGAAACAGTACCGATTTTTTGTTTGTATGGAAAGCGATGCACCCTAATGTAAATACACAGTTTAAATGAAGCTGTAATCTATATATGTATGTTGTTTCTTTCAATAAAGTCCCGTGTTAGCTACAGGAGGTTAGCGGGTTTATTTATTTCGCCAGTGTGAGTCTAGACGTCACCAGTCTGATTCGCTGCTAGTCAAAGCGACTTTCATCCCTATCATCTTTTGTTTGTTTAAGGCTTATTATTTTTTTTTTTTGTATAAAATAGACAAATTACGAAAATTTAAAAAAATACAACAAACTTTTTATTAAGAATTTTTAGAAAACTTCTAAGTATGCTAAAACCGTATGCCCTTAAATTCAAGCTTAACGGAGTTCAAGTTTCAAGTGCCTAAGAATTCGCGTTGATTTTTGATATTTTTTTGCCGATGGTCTTATTATTATTTTTTTTCAACAAAAATAATTGTGGCACAAAATGCGTGACACCGTCAGCATTTCAAAAAAGAAAAATATCATAAACCAACGGGAATTTTAATTTTGAAATGTAGGACGAGAACGAGAGTTGCATTCTCGTGTACGTTGGTGAGGTGGGATACGGTAAAATTTTCACATTGCTGTTAAAAAATTCATAGGAACTACCTGTTCTGGTAGGGGAATTTATTGAATACTCGGTATCAGCCTCATTAAAAAACAAATATTTTCTTCAACCTATGCCCTACGCATAACGGTTGTATTCATTTCCGCTATTTCGTTCACAGAGTTCCGGTGGTGTTGTCACATTAGTCGCACAGTATCGCCCCGAGGAGTACAATCGCTTTGAGGCGCGCATACAGGAGCTGAAACAGCAGGCTGCATTGTCGGCCGGCGGTACTGGCACACTGTTGCGCACCTCTCAAAAGCGTTCACTGTACGTGCGTGCGCTCTTCGATTACGATCCCAATCGTGATGATGGGCTACCATCGCGCGGTCTACCCTTCCGCCATGGCGACATACTACACGTGACAAATGCTTCCGATGATGAATGGTGGCAGGCACGTCGCGTGCTTGGCGACAGTGAAGACGAACAAATCGGTATTGTGCCATCGAAACGACGATGGGAACGAAAGATGCGTGCACGCGATCGAAGTGTTAAGTTTCAGGGTCACGCTGCAGCCAACAATAACCTGGACAAGGTCAGTAATGAGGTACAGTAGCGCTTGATCGATTGAAGTAGCCGTAGTTGTTGTAGTAATATGGTATTTCAATTAATAAACATAATTTTTTTTCCTTATATATTTTTTGACACATTGCGCGCGTACTTTCAAGCAGCAATCGACGCTGGATCGTAAGAAGAAGAATTTCACGTTTTCACGGAAATTTCCGTTCATGAAGAGTCGCGACGAAAAATTGGGAGAAGATGGCAGTGATCAAGAGCGTAAGTAGTAATAAGGAAGTGTGTGAAACGTGAGTGTTTTTATAAAATGTGAAATTAAAATGTATGGATTTATGCGCGTAAGCGTCTGAGTGCGTGTGTGTGTGTGTGTTTGTATATAAGCGCTTATGTAGTGAAGTTAGCTGCGTGATAGGATTTTAATAAAATAAACACAATATTAAATTCTCTACTGCCCTTTGTTAGTAATTTTATGATGCAGGCTTTAAAGTATCTTCCCTTTTTCAGGCAGTCTGAAGCCCGCCTTCAGGCGCTGCTGTTATTCTTCTAGACCGCCCCTATATTGACTTTTTTTTTTAATTACGTTGGTTTGCTTACGTAAATGAATACTTTTTTCCTTTTGTTTTGCTTATGCTTTTTGTGAGTTTGTTACCATATTATTATTAAAATTAATTAGTTTATGCGTTTAATTTGTACATTATGTTTGTGTTTTCTTGTTATGTTATTGCATAATTTTAATATAATTTTTAATTTGTATATTTTTTGCTTTTACATGAAAATCACGAACACACAATACTACTTACCATCACGAACAAACAAAAAAAAACGTCTAAAAACCGTATATCTTTTGTGGCGTCCAACATCATCTACAACCATCAACATACATCGCCCTCGTCCTCCGTCCGTCAAAACAACTACTATTTATTTTTGATCGTTCATCTATCTCTCCGTTCATTCATTACTTACATACATACAATTCGGAATCTAATGGCATACAATATGCAATTATTAATAATTACAAAAAAAAAAA